CTGACAACCCCATGTGCAGAATCGTCATAGATCATTTATTCTGTAGAGAGAGCTGTTGTCCAGACAGATGCTGCAGAGAAGTGTCAGAAACAAAATGGGATTCTCCCAAAGAAGGTATCAGAATCCTGACTATGGGAACTCAATGACTGGAAATGTTTTTCTGGTATGTTTTCAACACTAAAAAAACAAAGTGATGTTTATCTAGTCCCCACTCCTCTCACTTCCAATGGGCCCTGCTTTTCAACATGCTCTCCCTAGCAACTTTCAGATTTGTTCCACCTCCAAGCCAGAAAGACTAGCATGGAAATTGGGTCTACCACAGTGTAGAAATATTTCCAGGGTACATTAATGGGTGGAGCACCAGCCTGGGACTGGGTTTAGTTCTTCATGGGATTTTAGAACTTCATGCTAAGCTGGGTGTAGGAGAAATTGGAATCAGAATCCTACAATTGCATTTTGACCAAGGAAGAGCAGTTTAGCCTGAGATTTTGAGGGGATGAAGCACGGCAGTAAGGGGAGCACCTGCAGTGTGGAATACAGAGCTGTATCTCCCCTACATCTGCTTGCCTGCTAGCTCTGGTTTCCAGACCAGGACTCACCAAACACCTTGTGCAGCTTTATTTGCTGGAGACAAACATTATTATTTATTATTTAGTGAGGTGCTTATAAATGCTCTGCAGTCTGAGTGCTCAGTAGGCAACGGTTTTGTGAAAGTGCGTGTAGAGTGTTGGTAGATACGACAGACTTCTGGATCAAACCCAGACAGCATGGCCAGTGAATGATGCTATGATAAATTCTGAAACACAGTGGTTTCTTTGAAATATTGAGTTAATTAAGAATCTTGGGAATGTGTTCACCAAGCTGAATTTTACAAATGAGAACATCAGTGAAATTTCAAATAAACCTATTGTGCAATTTATTCGGAAAAAAAATGTAGCAAATCTTGAATGTCTTACTTGGCCCCAAAGTAAGCAGAGTTCAATTAAGTTCGCAGTTAGTGCTCCCTTTTGAATTATATTTACCTGCCCTGTATGTTGAAATAAGTTTCAACATGTGGATTTTCTTCCCCATTCTTTCCTGCTTGATGTGGAGAAAAAAATTACCCTTTATGTAATTTACCCTTTATCATTGCCAAGAGTAGAGAGTTCAGCTCACTGAAAATATCTATCTTCATTTATTTAATAGTATCTTTTAGGATTTGGCTTCCTGTCTTCACTTTGCTTGATGTCTTTCCTGAAATCTCTGTCTCTCTTGCCAATGTGCTTCTCCACTTAGGAGCTGTTCAGGCTCATAACTACCCTCAAGCTTGGAAAAGATCCATAGCACCTAGGCTGAAGGTATATTAAACAATACAGATTTCCACTGCATAGATACCAGGTGCTGTGAATTCTAGTTTTGTCATGGTACAGAACCGGAATACATTTTTTTCTAAATATAACAATGTAAGAGATTTTGTGTATAGACAAGGCCTTTATCTGTCAAAACATGTCAGCCAGCTAGTTTTGCAGGCAGAACCTGATAGCATATTTAATCCCCCAAATCCATTCTTATGATCCATAAATATTAAGCTAGCTTTAAACTGGTGACAGAAAGGACTTGGGCCTAAGCCTTGCAAGACAACATTAGAGTAACTGTGAAGTTAGTCAGAGGATCAAATATGTTTTTATATATCGCTTTAAGTAATCATCCCTCCCCCAAATTAAATAAGTGCTTCTTTCATTCGAAACAAGAATTCCTGCAGTGGGGCAAACTTATAGCTGAAACAAGTTTTGAACTGTCCCTGCGTGTTTGGACCAAGGGAGGGAGGCTCTCTTTTGAGTCACTCCTGCCTACAGCCCGCTTCCCATTGTAATTCCTGTCTGCTCCGACATCCACGCTGCACAAACACCATGAGTCACGCTGCCAGCTCGGGAAGCTGCCCACCAGCCCGCTTCATTTGCGGGCACCACACTGCTGATGCAACCTGTGGCCATACAGAGGCTCTTTGTTCAGGATTCACACGTTATCTGTGTGGGAAAAAAAAATAAATCACAGAAATTAGGCATTATAGCATTTAATAATATGTACATATAAACGAGCCTGAGCAGCCTCTTTACTTCTGATGGCTGAAGAATCCTGCTGGTTTGTTCCTCACACTGGATCTTTTTGCCCAGGACCTTGATTCTGGCACCTGCGGCTGACACACAGTACCAGAAGGCTTGCAGTGCTGGAAACTAACGCAAAACACTTTATTTAACACCGTGAAACAACTTTTGACCGCTATTTTCCAAATTAAGAGAAGCTATTCGTTAAGGAGCTGTATTTCAAGCTAACAAAAGCCCTACCCGGGGCGCGCAGAGCCCCCCACTCCCTCCCCGTCCACCTCAGAGCTCCCCCCGCCGCCATTCCCCTCAGCCCCCTCCCGCCCCCCCTTTCCTCAGGCCCCCCCCCGGCCGCCATTTTCCTCCCTCAGGCGGGCGGGCAGGCGGGCAGGCAGGCGGGAGGGTGGCCATTCTCCCGCCTGTCTCTTTCCGTCAGGCGCGCCGCGGGCAGCCCCGGCGAGGCCCCCTATTTAAGCACGGCCGCGGTGCCAGCCCCCTTCCTTTCGGGCCGCGCCGCCATTTTGTGGGCACACGGGGAGCGGCGCCGGGCCCACAGCGCCCGTCAGGTGCCGCCGGGGAGCGGCCGGGGGGCTCCGCTAGAGAGCTGGGGGGCTGTAGGAAGGACCTTGAAGGGGTTGGGGGTGAGGGGGAGAGTGGAGGGGCCGTGGGTTGGAGGCTGCGGCGTGGGGTGGTGGGTGGAGGGGTAGGCCGCGCCGCGCCGGGAGGCTGCTGAGGGAAGGAAATAATAAAGGAATAAAAGAGGGAGGGTTTGGGGTAGTTTTCCAGTGTAGGTCTCGTCCAGCAGGACATGGGGTGCGCTAATGTGGGTGTTGAGTGCGTAGTGTGAAGGGCCGGGGCTGAGGGGCGTCTGTGGGAAGAGGCTCGAGATGAAGTTAAAAAGCATTACTGAAATCAGAGAAGAAGCAATAGACTGGTTAAATTTATCATAAGTAATAGTAGTATCTGTAATTACCTCGTAGTTTTGGTAGTAGAGGTCTTGTTTTTTGGCAAGCTGTGAGGAGAGCCTGAAAGAACTGGGCTTGGACATTCAGGGCCAAGAAGCCGTTTTGGGGGGCACTTAACAGCTGTTACCAAGAAGATGGGGCCTGGTGCCTAATTAGGGGCACGTGACAGGAGAGATGTCTGTCATAAGGCCGAATGGGAGAGGTTATAACTAGATGCAAGGAAAAACTTTTGTGTTGTGAGGTGTCAGGCCTCTAAACTGGCTGTTCATCAGTCTGCCTCCATCCTTGAAGGGTTTCAGCACCTGAGCAGGCAAAGCCCAGAGCCACTTGGCCCTCTCTCATAGCAGACATCGCTTTGAGAAGAGAGAAGGTGCAGGTGGTGATTTGCTGTCATCCCATGTTACCCCAGCTGTGCGATTGCTCTATATAAATATTGTATTTCTTTCCTGTTAGTGTCTGATAACCTTGTTTGGTCTGACCCTGCCTTTTGGAAATGGCATCATTCTGAAGGCTTGAAGGCATTCTTTTTCTAAAACTCATGAAAACGTCATTAGTCAATTTTTTAGTGAACCAGGAGTTCTGAACAGTCTTCATTCATTTTTGCAGTAATCATCCAAAATGACGAACACAAAGGGAAAGAGGAGGGGAACGCGTTATATGTTCTCGAGGCCGTTCCGCAAACATGGTAAGTACGCAGTGTGGGGAGAAAAACTGCACTAAATTACTGACCCGCTGGATGTCAGCAGTCCCTAGGTAGTATGGACACACCAGCTTACATCAAAGGATGGGTATCTGGCAACTTGGGCCAAAACCCACAGAAAGATACACAAGTAAACTTGCAGTCTTAAAGATTATTTATTAGTCCTTTGAGTGCTGGACAATGATAACAATACTATTTCTGTCACTGCTTGAAAGCGAAGAAGATACATCAAAAGTCATACTTAGTTAAAATGTGCGGTTTCTTGCCTCTAAGTGATAAGTGATAGCAGCTGTATTCACAGTGAGATCATAAATAGTTGTAATGCTTTTTCAGTTTCTGCATTAGGGATGAGATTAAAATTGTAGTTTTCTTCACTTTTTTCTTTAATTTGGAAAGTGAAGAGGTAATTACTTTAAAAATGTTTTTTTGTTATTTAATTAATTTTGAATTTAAGTTTTTAAATCAGGTGTTACGAAATGCGTGGTCTGTGTCTCCTGTCCTCCCGCCCCACCTTTTTATATGTGTGTGAAATTGGGAGCTTCATAGTGTACATGTTTGTGTCTCCCAACAGGAGTTGTTCCTCTGGCTACATACATGCGCATCTACAAGAAGGGCGACATAGTTGATATCAAGGTACTTTCTACAAAGCAGTGTAATTAACAGCAAAAACAAAACAAACACAAAAAGCACAAATACCTGAAGCGGTGTTATCCCTTCCATTTCTGTTTTTTGTGGTAGTCTTTCTGTTACTCATGTGTCAACACAAGCAGCGGCTTCTGTTGGAGCAGTACTGGAATGACAATGCTGCTGAGTGATTTACATTAGGCTGTGCTCTGTTACTGTGTGCTCAGCTGGAAAAAAGTGAGTGAGGCACGCAATATCTAATACTTGGGTTGCTGCATTGTGCCTGCTAGCTCACAGGAACCCCATGTGTCATTCTAGTAGATGCTGTTTCGCCTGATCGGCACCTGCTACTCAGAGGAGCCATAGTTCGTGCTGCATGGTTTATGCAGCATCATTTCCCATAAATCATTTTTTTCTAGGACTTGTCATTTGAAATCATCCGTACTTTCAACATGAAATTGTATTAAATTTGAGCATTTCACTAAGAACTCCTATTCTGTTGAATCCTTGAATTTCAATTTGAAGTGCTGAGTTTTCATAACTCAGAGGTTGAAGTGTAATTTTTTTTATTTTTTTTTAAACTCCTGAAGAACTGTAGCATTCAGGAATTATCACTTCTTGACATTCTGGAGCTTGATGATGATTGTCTCCTGTGATTGCTTGCTAAAGACAAAGTGATCGAATTATTTCACCGACGCTGAAAGCAACAGAATGGTCATAGAAGAATTTAGTAGTCTTCAGATACAAAATGTGTGGTTAGAAATTCTAAGGTATGAACAAAACAGGAGTGTATTTAAATCAATCTAGAGTAATGTGGTATTTGTGCTTGAATTAACTTCTGAACGGAAAGCCCTCGACATTGCTTGAATGTTTTAAAGCTAAAGTTGAGGCTTGATTCTTATTTTACCTCTTTAACAGGGTATGGGTACTGTTCAACAAGGTATGCCCCACAAGTGTTACCATGGCAAGACTGGAAGGGTATATAATGTCACGCAGCACGCTGTGGGCGTTATTGTTAACAAGAAGGTGAAGTAAGTAATGAAATTCTGAGCATCTAAAGTTTGTGCTGGGGGAAGTTGATCTGCGGTGGCACCCTCCTTTCACTTTGCCAGTTAGACATTTTTTTGTCTTGATTGGTCATTCAAGGTGGGTAAAGTACGTTTCCTTTTAAAACCCAAGCAAATGATGGTCGTTTGACTTGGATCCTGTCAGAGGAAACAGTTCGTTATTCTTCTCAGTTACATTACCTAATGGGGACTTTCACATTTATATTGAAGGCTGTTTAAAGTACTGTTTTTCAGCTTTATTCATCTTTTTGTACAATTTAGTTAGAAAAAGATACTTCTTTTTTCCAGAACTGAGACTAAAGTACAGTGGTGGTTGTTACTTGTCTGTATGCTCCAAGGTTAAGGTTAAAATAATTTATTCTCCAGCAATTTAAGGCTGAATTATCAGCATATTGTTATATATTAATAAGCTTTCAGTTACATAAATTAACGCAGACTTGCATCTGCAGCAGTGTATTCTGAGTGATTGCCACTTAAAGAAAACTGATCTCTAATTGAGCTCATGGAGTTACGTGTGGAAATGCCATAACGCTGGCCTTGAAATGGCCTTTTTGCAAGTGCAGGAGATTAAAACCTGATTTCTTTTCTTAGGGGTAAGATTCTTGCCAAGAGAATTAATGTGCGTATTGAGCATATTAAGCATTCCAAGAGCAGAGACAGCTTCCTGCAGCGGGTGAAGGAGAATGAGAAGAAGAAAAAGGAAGCAAAAGAAAAAGGCATTTGGGTTCAACTGAAACGCCAGGTAATATTTTTATTGTGGTTGATGCACTGTTGATTCAGTTGACTAAAATGTTATTCTCTTCCAAAACAACAAAACATTATGCTGCAAACTGAATTTATTTGTTAAAAAAAAACATTAATGAAGCTGCTTACAGTACTCTGAAAAATCCAGGTCTGTTGCAGATTGTGTTGGAGGTGTCTGCTACCAGCCTCACTTAGTTTGTGTTCTTTTTGTAGGAGGTTCCTTCTTTTTCTTCATTTAGGGTAGAGTGACAGCATGCAGTGTGTCTGCATCTCAGCTGTAAGATTTGGTGCCTGAACAGACGTGCACTGTTCCTGGATGAAAATGATGTCCTTGGCTGTGAACAAAGGGCCAGATGCTTCCTGTTCAGAGAGCACTGTAGAGGGTTGCTAATCTGGAGCAGAAGCTTTGGCTGATTTCTAGGAGTGATGTCTCCAATTTAGTGGAATTCAGCTGCTGCAGTTTCTGTTAAAACCCTTTAAGAATGACTTCTAGAGAAAGTAACAGCTGTTTCTTCTAGAACCCCAGGCTGCATCACTTCTCGTTAACTTAGGTTAGTAAATTGCAGAGGATGAAGTGTAGTTTTCTTCATTCAGCAGTGGAAGCCAAGTAAATTTTCTAGCAGACCTTTTTTTTTTTTTACAGCTAATCTTCGAAACAATTTTTAAAGAGACAAGGAATGATAAAATTGCTGTGATGTTTATATAGCAATGCATTAAGTGTCACAATTAATTTTGTGTAAGGCTACATCTGAGTTTGTGTTACAAGTTCTTTCTCTTTTCATTTACAGCCTGCTCCACCAAGGGAAGCGCACTTCGTGAGAACTAACGGGAAAGATCCGGAGCTGCTGGAGCCAATTCCCTATGAATTCATGGCATAATGAACATTTTGAAAAGATTAAATTAAAGATCTGTTTTTGGACAAGTGTATGCGATTGTGGCTGAATCATTTAAGTATTTTTTGAACAGATTCTTTAGAAAAGCTTCTCTTAATTAAGTTTATTTAGCTTGCTTTACGTGATAATTGGTCATTTAAATGACTGGCAGCTTTTGCTGGTCAGTTTGGTCACTGACAGACCATAAATTTTAGGGACGCTGAAAGTTGCTAATGCTCAGTGGTGATCATCCTTTGATTACCTAGTGGGGTACTAAGAGAGGACATCAAATATTTCACTGGCAAACTGAGAGCATATATCAAGAGCCAAGTGTCACTTGAAGAAAATGGTTTTTGAAAATAACTTGGAAAAAAATAAGGCCGTGGGCAGGCCTTTTTGTTTCATCACTGTAATGTGTAAAGGGTTTCTTAGAGCATCCCCAGGCCAATAAGCATTCTTAGAAAAGAGTAGTTTAGTAACAAAGCTTTTATGTCAAAACCGTGCCTTTGTCACTTGTTCTTTATTTAATGGGCTGCCATAGTTCAGCTCTTGGATTTCGTATGTTTATTACCTATCTGTTGGATCTAAGCATCTGTCTGGATGTCCTAACGCATTTCTCTCATCCAATTAACTTCAGTAATGCTTCACAAAACCTCAGTGCTAGTTGCCCAGCGTTTGAGCAGAAGAACAGCCAAGTGTGTGCTAACCAAGACTGGTTTTGTAAGTTTTGTTTGAAACTTGCTGCAGAATCTGCTGAAGGCAACGTGCTTGGCTTTGAAAATGCGTGAACTCAAATGTAGCTTCGTGATAGTTCTGGATTATCTTTTACCTTCCGAAGTCTGATGTAAGGCACTGCGTAGCTACCTTAAGTAGATGATGTAAAACTAACGTGTAGAGGTGAAATACCAGAGAAGCTGGTGATCTCAAGCACTTTGTAGGTGTCAATCACTGAAAATGACTGAACAGTCACTTGTAGGACAACTATTTTTTGAGGGGGAGTAATAAATGGAGAGATGAGGTTTATTTTTCTCTTCTCAGGTGTTTCAAGCTGCATGCAGGCTGCTTAGAAATTGGGATTGATGCACGTTTAACCTAACACTTGCCTTGCAGGAGGTGGAACTCCTACCTCTTAGCAGATTGATGAAGGGTGTTTTGCTGTTTTGACATGGCATGGAGTGCACCACCATCACCCGAAACTGGGCTGATGAATCTGTCCTAACTTTTACTGATTCATGCACTCAGTTCTTACAATCATCTGTGTTTTTCTTGGAGCAGTTTGAGGTATATTCTAACCTTAGATCTTTATCAGCTTACTTGGCTTGTGAACAGCAATTTAAAATAAATATTTGTCTAGCAGGATAAGCACTTTCCATTAGGCTTTGCATCTGAAGGAGTTAAGTGGGAGGCTTTAGTGGGTGTGATCTTCGGTGCTGACCTTTTCATCAATTTCCATCCATTTCTCTTATGCATGCTTGTCTAAGTTACCTTGGCTCTGCATTTATTTTGTGCATCCCTGTCAAGACGCAAGTGGATCAACTGGCACCGGGATGAAAAGTCTAACAAGCATGAATTAAGCAGTGGGTAGCTTTCAACTTCTGGATCTTCCTCAGCAATTTGGGATAACAGGAACAGGCAGCATGCAGAGGTCTCGTTTGAGAGCTGTGCTTCTGCAGACCCTATGCATTGCGAGTTTTCCACTTAGCCCCTGTCCTTCCAAGGTCACTCGGCGGGTGGGAGATGCTCTAAGTGCGTGTTTGGAATCTGCGTGGGCTGAGAGGGGAGGGAGGGGATGATTTCCCCGTTCTGGTGTTCCCAGAACTGACTGAAAATGAGGTTGGGTTTGTGTAGCAAGAGTCTCTTTATGAGACTCTTACTCCAATCTTTGGAAGAAGCACAAACTGTCAAAGGTTTAACCTTCCTTGGTTTATAGGTGCTGCCTTTTAGTTGCTGTCAGTGCGGCGGTGGTTTCCCGATGGTCTCAGGTTTGGAGAAGCACAGCTCGGGTACTCGCAGACCCCTGTCTGCTGTTGGAGTTGATTCTCGTGTTTAGCTGCCCTGTTTTTGCACGGTCCTGACAAAAGAGGGAGATCTGCGAGTTGAGCAACTGGTGAAAACTGGCTGTCATGAAACCAGCTCCTGAACTGAAGTGCCTCCGTGATCCAAGAAAATCATTCTCGGTGTGTACATGAACTGCAAACTGCTGGGGAGGGGAGCGACCTCTGAGTTCAGCATGCCTCTCCGGGAGGGTGAGGCAATTCTGCTTGTGTCTGGAGTTGCAAGATCTCCCCTTCAGCTTACTCTAGGTGGGTGTTACACATCAGAGCCATTGCCCTTGTACAACATATAGAGAGTGAAGTGCTTGGTAGGCACTTCCATGCAGTGCTTGGTCTCCGTTCAGGGAGCCTAATTCAGAGGTGAGGGCTGAGCTGTCTCCTGTGTCCCAGGTGGCCCAGAGGATGCCAAGAGACCACAAGGTGCAGTGGTTCCCAAAATTTTTGGTGTGGGGAGAAAGGACATGACTAAACTGGGCTCGTTTGTACGGATCCTCATGATTCAGGGGTGCAGGGGATGCAAACTTCCCTTTTTATGGGAAGTTTTATTTTGGGGTGGCGTTTCAATGCTCACTGCTTTCACAGCTCCCAGCACCTGGCAGTCATCTGCCTGGACTCGTTTTCATGCTGCTCTCTCAAGGGCGCGCTGAATGTGCTCTGATAGCTCTTTTATAAAGAAACGTTTAAAAATAGCCCCTGTTTGTGCACAAGGCCAGGGACGAGCGGCGCATGACAATGGGAGAGGATGACAATAGCGTGAACCTTTGGAAACCAAAAGCTTTTAGCGATGGAAGAAAATCTTGTTTACAAAAGGAAAAGCGGCATGACAGGGAGTGTTGGTGTAGAGATTTTAGAGGCAATCAGCTTCTGAGGGGAAAAATTGCCTCGATGTTCCTGTAGGGGCTCTTGGGCACCGCAGTAACACAAATAATACACAGCGCTTCCTCCACAGCCTTAGCTGAGGGTGTTAAC